CCTGTGACCCCATGCACACATGGCTCTCGTGCATGTGCGTGCGTGCACACACACGCATGCACACACTCACATGCACTCATGCACATACACAATATAAATATAAAATACTAAAAGTAAAATATTGTCTCTTCTCAGACACAAATAAATGTAAAATATTAAAAAGAAAAAAAACTTAGGAGTGTGGCTAAATCCTAGACAAATGTAATCTATTTCTTTTGCAACCAAACCAATTGGAAAATGGATATTTTGCTTTTCAAATGTGCAAACAATAAAGTGTAAATTTTTAAGGCCTATTTCTTTAAGAGGAAAATTAAGCAAATGGCCAAGCAGATGGCAGTTTCAAACAGTAAGAACCCTGGAAGACACGTGGGAAGGATGGAGAAGATGGAGAAAATGAAGACTGCAGAAAGTGACTGAATTTATCCTTCAGCCTCCCCACTACCCTCTGACCAACAGACTCCACTATTGTGTTTTTCCCACTTGAAACAATTGAGGTAACATACTTTTAGCATCAAGACAGATCTTAGTTTGAATTCTATTTTGGCTCCTAACTAATCTATTTCCTTGATTATGTAAAATACATCTTCCTTATGCAGCTGTCATGAGAGGAAAACAAATAGCATGCAGAAAGTATGTGCACAAGGCCATCTACATCGGAATCTCATTCCCAGTCTTATCCCTGATAGCCTACATCCATCACGGCCTACATCCTCCCATGCATTTGATAGCTGCCCTGTTCAAGATGTGGGCTGAGGACCAGCAGTGTCAGCAGCCCTGGTACTCCTTAGAAGACTCTAGGGCTCCCCACTGCCTTCCTTGCTGAGGCTGAACTCATAGTTACACAACCACAAAGTGTGAGCATCATTGCTATAAGGTTCCTGGGGTGGGCTACCTTTTTCCCCTCCTCCCCCCCTCCCTTTTACCTCTCCTTTCTTTTCCATTGTGTGCATATTTGTGCCTGTGTGTATGGAAGTCAAATGTTGGTGTCAGGTATCTTCCTGAATAACTTTCCATTGTATGCTTTGAACCCCTTGCTTAATTGGCTAGAGTGGCTGGTCCGAGTTCTAAGGCAAGCTTGCCCTATGGTTATGGACACTTGCCACACACTACACTACACTCAGCCTTCATAGCAATGTCAGGGGATCTGAACTCAAACCATCATGTTTGTGCATCAGAAACATTATTGACTGAGCCATCTCCTCACCCCCTCCTCTCCATATCTCCCCTCCCCTCCCTTCTCTTTCTTCTTCGCATTGTTTTCCTCACCTTGTGGTCAAAGATGTAACCGGTGGGGTCTCCACATGTGATACATGTTGGTCACATGTGCAATCTAGATAAACTTATCTGGAACAACCTCCCAGTTGATGCACTGTCACTGTTCTGAGGGAGTAAGGCTAGGTAGGCCACACATCCCAGACTTTGCAGGGAATTCACTGAAAGAGGCTGCACACACACGCACACTAGGCAAGCATTCCACCACCAATGGAATGACTCAAATTCCCCATAGCCCACTACTTACTTAAAAAATTGTTACATACTCTAACTTGCACAGCCTGTTTCCCCCTGCCCTCACATTGCTTCCCCCCTCCCTTGAGACCGAGGTTTATGTAGCCCAGGCTGTCCTTGAATTCACGCCATAGCGAAAGGTAACCTTGACCCTCCATTCTTCACCTCCTGAGTGCTTAGATTATAAACATGTGTCACTACACGGTTTTTTAAAAAATTTTGTAATTTGACAATTGCATACATGAGTATAATGTATTCTAATTACTCCTACCACACACGTTTCCTTATCCACCTCCCATCCCTGTCACACACGCACGCACGCGCGCGCGCGCGCGCGCGCACACACACACACACACACACACACACACACACACACACAAACACCAATTTCTTTCCCAGATTCCTAACCTCTGAGTTTGTTTTGGGGCCCATTTAATTTAACCAGGGCCATCTGTGTGGCAACTGGATCAGAACTAACCGATGGGGACTGGCACAGTCAAATGTGGGCACACAATCAAAGCCACTGACTTCCCCGTCCCTGGATCTACTGGTAGCAAAGAGTCCAGCAGTGAAGGCAGTGAGAATACTGCCCATGCACAAGCAATAAGCCTGCACTACACAAAACAAAGAGGAATCCTATTGTACTAGGCTTCCCTGACTCATTACTGTAACAAAATGCCTGACAAAAGCAGCTTAAGGAAGGAAGAGTTTATTTTGGTTTACAATTTGAAGAGATACAGTCTATAATGGGGGGGACAGCGGGGGGGGGGGGGGGGGAGTCATGGCAGCAAGGCTCACAGGAAGTGGAGAGATATGAATTTTGTGTTACACTCTCTCCTTTTTATTCAGTCTGAGACCCCAACTCATAGAATGGTGCCACCCACATTTAGAGTGGGTCTTTCCTCTTCAGTTAAACTTCTTTGAAAGCACCTTCATAGAAACATATCCACAGGTGTGTTTCCAGGGTGATTCTGAATCCATCCAAGTTGACAATCAAGATTAACCATCGCTAACCTACACCTGGCCAACCTGACACCCAAACACATCACTACATCATAGCATTCCATCTCTGGCCCCTAAACTCTCATTTTCATCTCTTAACTCCAAAATACATTTAGTCTTTCTCTAAAAATGCCCAGTCTTTAGCAGTCCCAGCAGTGTTCAACAGTTGAAAGTCTTATCTGAGACTCAAGGCAATCTCTTACTTGTAAACTTCTAGAAAAGCAACAGCTTACAAAGTTTCAATATACAATGGCAATGAATAAACATCCCTACTACCAAATGGGGAGAGCAACAAGGAAACATGAGACCAAAGAAAGACCCACCGCCAGCAGGGCAAACACCAAATCCTGCAGCTCTATGTCCAGCATCTGGAGCTCATGATGGAATCCCATGGGCTTCAAAGGGCTTTGGTAATCCCAGCTCCAGCTCTGCCATTCACAGCACACAAAGCTTCTGTCTTGGGCTGGCTCCACTCCATGCTTGCAGCTTCCCTCTGGTGATGCCCCACAGTTCTGGCACCTCTACCATCCTGCGCTCCACATTGAAGCTTAGACTTCACATTCACATCTTCACATAATGGCTTCTCAGAGCTCACTTACTGAGACTCCAACCCTGCTACAAATTACTTGGTCTCTGTGCTTCCTGGAACTCTAGTGCAAGTCTCCATGACACCTCCAGTCTTGCATCTGTGTGCACCTTTGTGCCAGTTCCATGTGGGTGACATTGCACAGTTCTGCTGTGACCTGGCCTTCATTTACGGGTATATTGGTGTTTGTGTACAGACCAGGGGGAAAGGCTTTCCTGGTTAACTGCTTTCCAGAAGTAGAAAACCCCTTCAGCAATATTCTTAGTTTCAGCTTTCTCCTTTCAATGAATTCATATTTTCACAAAATTTGGGTGGCATCTTGCTTTCAGAGTACCTTCCCTAATGTCTAATACAAGCACAAGGTTTCTTTTTAATGCTGCTGACCTCGTAACAATTCCAGCTTCTTTCTCTGCATCTGCCTTGCCTGCACCTATAAACTCATTCCTTTCCCCACCAACCAAGCTGGCACATCTGTCTTCTCCTGCCACATTTGTGCTTTCCCTCACATGAGACCTGGATGACAGCAGTAGTCAGTAAACATGACAGAGCCCAAATGCTAACCTATCCTCAGATTTCTTCCACCAAGCAAATGAGTCCATTACTTTACAATCGAGCCTCACTCAAGTTCCCAGGACATGGCGCTGGTGTCATGGACTGACACCAGCTTCTTTGCCAGATGATCACACAAATGGCATGTAGCTCAATTCTCAATAGTCTCTTTTCTTCTCCACAACCCCATGAGCCAGATATCCACTGTCCATGCTCGCCTTGGCATTTGAGTTTTTGAAAACAGCACCGGAATAGCCCATTAAACTGCTTACAGCACTCCAAGACTTTTCTGGCTCAAAGTTCCAAACTCTTAGCTTCAAACCCGTTCCAAATGCCTATGACCCACATGGTCAGGCTTAACACAACAGCCTCACTTCTCAGTACCAATGTTCTGTTATCAGCTACTTTTGTGCTTGCTGTGACAAAGTGCCTGAGAAAAGGGTTTACTGTGGCTCACAGTTTGACAGTCCAGTCCATCATGGCAGAGAAGGCATGGCAGCAGGAACATGAAACCACTGGCAATGCATTTGTATTACACATGTAGTTAGGAAGCAGAAAGAAATGAATGCCGGCATCTCACTTACTTTCCCCTTTTCAATGCATCCAAGACCCCAGTCCATTGCATGGTGCTGGTCATATTCCAGATGGGTCTTTCCTCTTCAGTTAAAACTTTTCTGAAACAGCATCACAGACACACACAGAAGTGTGTTTCCACAGTGATTCTAAAGCCATCACACTGACAATTAAGATTAACAATCATATCTATGAAGACCTTGAAGGTTGTCCCAATCAGTCCCCACAAAACTGAATCTGTGTTAACAACTAAATGCAGAAAGGAAGATGTCTACACTCAGGCGATCTGGAGGTAGTGAATCTTAGTAGTCAGTGATGCACAAGGCACTTCAATGGAACCATTTGTAGCTAAAAGACCTTGAGGTTCCTGTTGTCCATGACCAATGGCCTTCAGAATGAGCTGAGCCCTACGAGAAGACAAGTGCTATGCTTAATGCTAATGACATCAGCATCCTTTCCAGGCATTTAGACCCCTCTAAACCATAGAGGGGGAAGGCATGCGAGACAGTAAAATGAGAGTTCAAAGAATGACTGCAGAGCATGACAGCTGGTAAACTTGGAGAAGGATAAATCTGTGTTGGGCCCATTAGGGCCCACATAGCCACAAGTTGGCACAGAGTCACAGTCACTTCTCATAACCACCAATAGTCACAATGCAAAGAGAGGCCAAAGCAAAAGAGGGCAGGACAAAAAGGTACAAAGGGAAAACAAAAGGGAAACAGAAGTTGTGAGCGAAGGTTACCCACTGTTGCCCTGCAATAAAAAGAACAGGGAAGGCCAGAGCAAAGCTTCTCTTGCTTCTTTCAAACAAAACTGGCAAAGCTTTATTTAGATCACCCAAAATAACATTTTATAGAAAAGGAACTATAACATTACACAGCAGAGTATGGCTGTAAAATCTCAAACAAGACAGGCAACGCTTTATTTAGAGCAACAAAAATAATGTTTCGGAGAAAGGGAACTGCTACAAGCAATGCATAGCTGCAAGTTCTCCTTTGCCATCAATATCAGTTTCCTCTAAACTACTTTCAGAGTACTTTGTGGCTTCCAAGCACATCCTAAGATCTGTTGAACAGAAAACAGTTTTCAAAACCATTTTGTTTAACATTAACAAATAATCAAACAATGCGGTTCTTGCTAACAACCAACTGCAATGGCTACCAGAACAATGTTTAACCTAGTACACGTTCATGAACGTTTCCCTGTGAACACAGCTATGGCTGTTTTTATCCTGCTAGCACACACAGCTTGTGCAACAGTGTTGCTTTGGAATACGTTCAGGCACCCAGGAAGTAATCATTACATTTAAAAAATCATTAATTAATTCATTAATTAAACTGACCCCCCCATAGGCATGGACCACAATACAGAGCTCAGAAAATAATTCTTAACAGAAATAACAGTACATGAGCAACTCAAACAACAGAGCCTGCCTCTTTCAGAGAACCCCCAGGATAGGTCCACATCTCATTAACATTTCACCTGGAACCTAAAATATAAAGCTGCAAAGTGCAGCTATTTTTCCAGAACCATTGAATCTTTAATAAATTGCCCTGGGGTTCTTGGTGCTGTAGTGTGCCTCACAGGCAGCAACATAAGCTGACTCCGGGAAGAAATCATCATGGTATTCTGCTAAAAACCTAGAGAAAGAAAAAAAAAGGCACTAATGAGCATCATAATAAGGACTGAACACCCTGTAGCTAAGTATTAGCTTTCATATTTCTTCTTTTTTGTGCACTAGGAACAATACATGCTTCTAGGCTTGATTCTACTTGATTATTTCCACAGCACTCAACTGAACTAGTTTCTGTCAATCACCATGCATCTGAATCTCTTCATCATCAGTGTTACAGAACAGAAAACAGACTCTGAACTTGATTGGGTGGCAGTCTGATTACACACATGCATATGTGAAAAATAAGCTCAATAAATACTTTCCTGTTTTTCAAGCTCTAAAAATATGTGTGACAAACCCCAATAAATGTCACTTAAGAAATTCACAGGCCTTATACAAACTAAGTTGCACCCAAACTGAACAAGCAACCAATACCAGTGCTTTGGATACTAATTTGCCATCCCAAGAGGTTAGTTATAAGTCTAGATGGCAGTACCACAACATGTCAAAAGACTGGCATGTCTGTAGCTGGCTGGTAAAATGCGGTGTCACGCAAGAATCTGCAATACACTGCTGATGGGATGAGTGAGAGTCAGGCATGGTGGCTGGAGCATATAACCCAAGCATTGGAAAGCTGAGGTGGGAAGACCAGTACCTAAAGTTCATGGCTACTGGGAACTATGTTGCCATACCCCATCTCAAAAAAAAAAAAAAAAACAGCAACAAAACAAATAAAACAAACCAACAAAATAGAAAACAAAACAAATTCCAAGTGAATTTGGACAAGTAGAAGCCAGTTGTGAGTTCTACCATGAAGCACTTACCCTGCTATCTCCCACCTGTCCAAATTCCTAAAACTGTCACACCTCTCTAAATAAGGAAACATTGTCAGAAATCACTTGACAGACATATGCTTTTTTTCTATGTTTGCACCTTCCTGAAGGTCATTGTTCAGTTCAGTGATTTGAATTGCTATTATTTTTTCTATTTTTTAAAAAGCAATTTTTATTTATTTTCCAACAATTTCATGCAATAGACCTTGACTGTATCAATCCCCAATCTTCCCTCTCACACCTTAGATATTTTTTAAAACCTTTTACAATATTTATTTATAAAATCTTCTATGTTATTTCTTAAAGTTCTAAGTTCTTCTTTATATGAGGAATACTTCAAAACCTGTAGGTTTTCCTACACTAACTTGCAGCCTTGGCACTATTTGCGTTCAGTGCACAAAGTTTTATGTTAATCAGAATCGTAGGTTTGTCTGAAAGGACATTTGGGAGGGAAGAGAGTATTTTTAAATTTTGTTTTCAGTAAAATGTTGGAAAGTCTAATTATGTTCAAGGACATCTTCTTCAAAATCCCTATAGAGAAATACCTTTTCAAAGTTTCAGACAAATTTCTCAAGAGCATTTTCTACTACAGAAAAATAACTTTTCAAAGTTTCAGACTAATTTCTCAAGAGCACTTTCTACTCTTGAATATCCTAGATCAGTCAGAATGGGGACTGATCCAGTAGAAAGAAAAGTGTTCCCTTTAAGGTCTAGTAGCTAGGCTGAGCTGGGTGAGGCAAGGTGAAGACCAGCCTTGAAGGACAAGGTAAGGATATAGCTAACAGACATCTGGATGGAAGAGAGGAACTAACTGGACAATGGAATAAAGATGGGCATCAGATCCACAGATCAAATATTCTATTGGATAAGAAAATGACTGGTTATCTTAGGTGAAGATATCAACACCATTCTCTGAATTCATAAATGTCAGCACATACTTGGAGTCATTTATTATAGTTCTAGGCTAATATTTAAGTTAACTTAGATACATACAATAAAAAAGGACAATGTTTATGGTATTCCTGAAGAAAATATGTAAAATTAAAGGCAATCTCAAGTACTTCTAGGTCAGAAAATTCATTTTCTGCTTACAATGTTATCCAGCTGGATTCTTCTAGTGACATAAAAACGTACCTCAGTATCCTTAACTCAGAAACTGGAAAAATGAAGGCTAAAAGAAGCATAAAACCAACAAGCAAACAAATCAAAAATTCCCTTCGTACTTACCCTACCTGTCAAAACACATCCCCCTACACATACAATATGGAAAATACCACAGAACTACTTTCCATGCATGATAAAGTTAAGCCTAGAAAAGTCACATGTTTGCTGGCAGAGACAGGTGAGGCAAGGTAATAGAAAATACCTCAGAAAGAGATCAAAGTGCTTCAGTAAAGCCTTCAGATTCTTCTCAGAGAAGGACATCTTCCCAAGGATTTCTGGAAGTTTTACTGGATTAAAAATAAACACATTTGTAATCAGCAGAAGGTTACAATGGACAGGACTCATGGTGGGATCATCTGGGTAACTCTTTCCCCTTTGGGGACTGAAATTAACACCTACATAATCAAACAGTAAGTTACGGAACAAAGATAGAATGGGAAGTCAAGTATTATAAGCACAACTTTTATGAAATTTAAGTTGTACCAAGGGCCTTTTCTTTGAAGAGGAAACCAGGTATCCACATTAGTTAGATGCTTACAAGATGCCCATAAGCTAGCAACCCTGTTAAAACAAGAGCCAATCGACATTAGGCTGCTAGTGCTGAGGGCATCAGGAGGCCCCACTTCCCTTCGATCATCTACAGGATGCGAATGATTGCTAGGAGGGAGAGTTCCTTCAGTGGTGAAGCCACTGGCAATTGCTTTTGCTTCCTTTCTCATCCATGCACCTATACGAAACTCTAATGAAACTCATTAGTTGGGGCAGAGCGCGCGCACACACGCATGCACACATACACACCGTGGAATTAGAAGGACAAGTTGTTGAGACAAGGGACGTAATGGGGGGTGACTATAATCTCCACGCATTCTATATACATATGAAAATATCATAGTGAAAGCCACTACTGTATGTAATTAATAGCTGCCAATAAAATAAAAACTGGAAAGAAGACAAAGAAACGGATTTTTACCAAATAATCGCAGCAAATGCTGTGCACCATAAATGAATGAAGGGGGAGGTGGCTGGTCTCCTGGCGGATAATTGTCAGGCACAAGTTTCCAGGACAGGACCTACAAAAAAAAAAACCCACCATGTGAATGCCCCCTTTATTTCAAATGGAGACAACTTCTAGATACCCAAATCTTATAACAGTGAATCATATGGAGAGAATAAAGCCATATTGCTACCTAATGAACACAAGCTTAAAAAAAAAAAAAGAAATGTGAGAGCCACAATGACTTAAACTTAGGTTAAGAAGATACTGGATTTGAACTTCTCAGTGTCAATTATTTTCTTGCCATTCCAAAATGGCAAGGAAGGCATACTGGCAGGATCAGGAGACTGGCTGCTCACACTGTATCAATCCAGGAAGCCGAGAGTGGGCAGGAAATCTAGGCAGTCTATAAAAACTAAAGGCTTGGCCCTGGTGACCCACTTCTTCCAGCAAAGTCCACTTCCTAGAGGCTCCATAGTCTTCCCAGACAGCATCACCAGCTCGGGACACAGTGTTCAAACAAGCCTCTAGGGCACACTTGCATTCATACTTAGCCCCTTTCCCTTAAACAGGAAACACAACCAACAGTATCAAGAGTCCCTGGTTCCTTGCTTTTGGAGTCATTATGGAAACTAATTTGAATCATCTCAGAGTTCCAGCCTAGTAATTGGTCTCTTTGCTTTTACTCTGATTTTCAGAAGCATAGATGGACGTGGGGCTTTGGTTAAAGTGAGAGCTGTCTTGCAGAATTTCCCCAGCAGTACCTTTGTCAATCAGCAAGCCAGCTTTCATTATAGGGTGTGCCTAATCTATTAACATGGAAGAATCAATGTTGGGGGAAATTCTTTATGAGAAAAAACAGAGGGGTACCCACCCCCAAAACATCAGAAATGCTGGCACAGTTGACCTGAAAGAAAGAAGCGAGCTGTTCACCAGTGCTGTGGGACTCCAGGATGAAGGTCCCAGCTTCAGTTCAGCTCCTTGCAGCTTTCATGGAAATTCCCTATCTCATCCTTGGCAGCAAGTGCAGACATCTTCACCTCAACCAGGCATCTAACCCTGTTCCCACAGGGGAATCTTAGAAATGCTTCGACACTGAGTGTTGATCAGAGGTACAGGTAGACATTTGTAATTTTTCAGAGATTATCAATGAGAACCACTTGTGCATCATAACCAGCAACATTGTCATCTAGACCCTTCCCTAATACAATCAGCAGCTGGGAATAAGTGAAAGGAGCAGAAGGGATCTGGATAAATGGTCCTGGTTAAAATCCACAGTGGAAGAAGTCCTTGGGGGGTCCTTAAAGTCACTATGGATTATTGAGTCCCTAGAGCCTGCTGAACACCGCTGTTTACCACAAAGCAGCCTGCTCTACTATTAACCACTAGATGGCAGCACTGACCTGAATGGAAGTGGTCGGCCTCATTGTCTTTTTTTTTTTTTGAAGGGAACTAGAAATAGAGGAGTTGGTCTGAAGGAGAGAGGTGGGAGGAGAGGCTGGGAGAAGTGGAGGAAGAGATAACTGCGCAGTCAGGATTTAGTGCATGAGAGAAGAATAAAAATTTTAAAAATCAGAAAGAAATACCATTTCCCTTAAACACAAAGCCTGTAGTGGCAAGACTGTTCTCAGGCACTCAAGCTAATGGGCTTAAAGTGTAGCCCAATGCTGACTGACATCCAGCACACTTTAAAATGAATGGCTGTTAGGGATACTGTTCATGGAGGAGAATCAGATGTCAAAAATGAGTCTGCAACAACAGCCTGCTGCTCACATCTCATCCAATTGTTTGATGCTGATTTCTATGTTGCCCCAAAACTAGGTTTATGCTTTGTGTTGAGGGCTGGAGTGCTCAACTGGGAGTCTTTTCCTGAGGCCCTGATGTATGGAGAAGGAACACAGTTCCTCCCCTAAAACAAGGAATGGCTTCAGATCCTGAGAACCCAACTCTTCCCATCATGGGGATTCCCATCATGGGGTTATGTCTCAAGGCCACTGTGTACTTGGTCTGGAATGCTCTTGAGATACCCTGTGCTCCCTTTGTGCAACATTGTTTGATTAGCTTCCCACTAACTCAGTCCATTGTATGATGGCTTCGGCTGACTCTGTACCACTGTACTTCTTAATAAGCTTGTGTCCCAACCCCAAACTTTCTTATTTTCTCTATATTCTATCCTCTTTTTCTTCCGGATCTCCTGGTCCTCTCTTAGGACCCCACCACCGGTCTAGGTCACCTTTAAATGATTTAAAGCTAAAAGAATATCTTGGCTGGGTGTTGGTGGTGCATGCCTTTAATACCATCATTCAGAAGGCAGAGGCAGGCAGATCTCTGTGAGTTCAAGGCCAACCTGGTCTACAGAGCAAGTTCAGAGACAGGCTCCCAAACAATACAGAGAAACCCTGTCTCAAAAAAAAACCAAAAAAAAGAATATTTTTAGCCCTTGCATATCATATACTGTTCACATTGCACTGTCCAACATAATGGTTTGTTGAAACACAGCACATCTATTTTCATTTACATATTGTTTGCAGCTACTTTGCAGTTGATTAGTCTTAATACATGGCCCACAAAACCTAAAATGTGTACTCTCGGGCTCTTAGGAATAAAAGCATTGATGTGTTATTCACAACACAAAAGAAGTCTTTCAACAGCTGAATGATCTCTAAGGTAAAGGTCATTACACTTGTAAAGCTGGAGTCCTGGCAGTTTCCTCAGATTTGAAACCAGGAACAGACTACTGAGTAGACTCCTCTCTATCCTCTCTCTGCTGTTTCTTGCAAAGCAACATAGTATTTCAAGGACTTGGAATTGTAAGCAACCACAAAGGGTAAGAGGACCCTCGAAATTGAACATAAAACACTCTACCTCATTTATTTCATTGGTTCTTCTCCCTTCAAAGCCAGCAAATACGGCACTCCCTTCCTTACTTGGAGTCAGAGGAATGGGGGAAGATGATCTGCTATGCACAGGCGTCTCTGCCAAAGAGAAAGTTGCAATTATTTACCCAGAAAGTTACAAAGAGTGACTGAACTAAAGACACTCATCAGGTAACTGATAAACACTAGACCAGGAATTGAAAGCAGTTCTTAAATGCTACAAAACGTTAGCAATATGATGACCTACATCTTATACAAGATAGCACCTGGAATATCATTTTTAGCATGTACAGATACATGTTACAACAGGAGTCAACTTTGAAAAAGTTATGCTAAGCTGAAAGGAGCCCATCACAGTGTCACATTATTGTGATTCCATTCATATGTAATCCACAGAATAGGCAAATCCAGGGACCGATGGAGATACCCTGGGGGTATCTTGGGGGACCAAAAGAGAGTGTTGGATCCCCTGGAACTAGAGTTAGAACTGTGAACTGCCATGTGGGTTCTGGCAATTGAACAAACAACTGAACTGATTTTTGAGATGGCTACACCATTCTAACTATACTAAAAAGTCACTTTGAGTCATGAATTTTACAGCATATGAATTATATATCTCCAAAACTCTGATAAAAACCAGCATATGATTTGAACCCTTTCTTCAAACCGATGTTTGACAGGTAAGTTTTGAAAATAGGAATAGAAATGTAACATTCTACTAGCCTCATTCATCTTGAATATTCCAATAACTCCACTAGCTCACAAGACATAGCAGAGAGGGAGGGTGAAAAGCAACCTTAAACACAGTGCCCAGTCCTCCCTCTCCAATCCTCAGAGCTATCCAAGGCAGCTGCTTCTCCATCTTCCTATGGATGGTTTCCTCTTCTTCAAAGGAAGTAGCCTTCATAGCACTTGGGTGAGATCCCAGGAATAATATGCACTATATACACAGTTAGGGAGGCTAAAAACAAAGGAAAAAGTGGCTTTCCCAGGCCCGGGACTCTCAGAGCAAACTCACTTTTTTCCAAGTGCAGAAACAGCTTTGGCATGCTGGCAGATGTGTCCTGCTGCCGGCGCTTCGGCTGAGGTGAGGAGCTACTCTCCGACAGCCTGTCACAGTTGGTACTATGACGTGTGGACCTCCTTAGAGACTGCAGGGCTTCTGGATCAGCTTTGCGCCTCTTGGGGGTGGCTGGTTCACCACTAAGTGGCTGACTCTCGGTAGACTGTGGTGTGGATGGGTTCAACAAAGGTGGGCTAGGAGACAGCTCCTCCTGGCTCCTGGGCAAGAAGGACAGAGTCACTGGCAGCCTCTAAAGGCTTCTGCAAGGCCTCCTAAAGGCAGATTCACAAACTGGCTTGAGGGGGGCACACATATGCATCCCCAAGTATACTCAAACACACATGTTTCTTAAACAGTCCCTAAATAGGTGAGGTCACTATCACTCTGCAAGGAATGCTGTTATTAGAGACTACAATGCCTGGTCAATCTATTTTAGAGCTTTTGGGGATAAGGGTTGGCTCTAGCACAGAAAACCATTGCCAGTGTCTGGTGATATTACAGGCTTGTCACAACAGAGGGCAGATATGCTGCTGTCTAGTGGTTACAGACCAGGGATACTGCTAAAAGTGTCTTACATCACACAGAAAGAGCTCCAGAACAGAGATACTCTGGTCTAGGGAATAAGACTATCAAACAACATTTTACACATGTAAAAACTGCCAGGATATAAGAATGGCACAAGCATGTTAAACAAGGTCTACCCCAGACTGAGACTCATCAGGTGTGAAGCAAGCCATTCATGACTTCAACAGAGGTCCCCAGTGAGTTTTCCTGACCTCTCACCTGAGGTGACATGGAAAATGAGGGGGAGAGAAAGGAGGTGGGGAGGCAGCTAATGCAGGGCACAGAAAATGAAAGTCTAACAAGATAGCAGTAGATAAGAGCAGATGCTGAGTGATTTAACATAGAAGGATGGTACTCTCAGTGCTAGAAAGCTCAGTCCTCTGGGCATGACATGATCATTGCTATCTTGGAGTTAGAGCATCTGCGATGAACCACACTAGGCACTTATAACCACTAACATTCCCTTGTGAAAGGTGGTAGGGCTCGGAAGGCACACAGAGCCCTCGTCTTCATAAAGATACTTAAAGCAGTTAATGCCTGCCGGGGAGAAGGAGGTGTGATTACTTGTAAGTAGCTCATGTTCCTATAACTAGCTAAATTCACTCACAACCCAAGCTAGACTTGAGAAGAACGGATTTTTAGTCTCTCGCACAACATTCAGGAAGAGAGAGGAGAGGGCATGGTGGGAGTGCCTTAGATTGAGGGAAAAGACTTTAGGTGAGGATGGATCCACCCTCACACCCTCTGCCAGAACAGAGAACAAAGCATGCTTAGGCATAGACAGAAGAAAAGCAGTAATGAAAGAAAAGCAGGCCCTAACCCATACTTAGGGCCAAAAGTTCCTGGCCCCTTGTGAACAATATCAAGAACTGTGACTCACCAGGGAGACATTCATTCCATACTACATACATACAGGAGGCATTCATTCCATACTACAGATGTAAAGGCAAGAGGCTCAGAAAAAGCTGACCCAAATCATGTAAGAGCAAGGGAAGGATGTCAGTTGCACCTCCACTTTCCATGCTTCTGGCCCATGCTGCCTTTATCCTCTTCACTGTCTTCTGAAAGATGGGACAGCTGCTCAGAATCCACTGATAAAGTTTTTATCTACTCAGGAATCTCTTGTCTGTCCTGGTCTTGCTATGTAGTCCTAAGTAGCCTGGAACTCCTTCTAGAGACCATCTATCCCCAAATTCATAGCAGTCCTCCTGCCTCAGCCTCTTGGATGCTAGGATGCTAGGCATGTACCATCATGTTGGGTTACCCTGGAATGTTTACTTGGGAAAATCTTTTCACAACCATGATAATGTGAGTGATGATCCAGCTAACCCACGAATAAAAAGAAAGCCCCTGTAAGAACACTCTACATGTCCTTTCCTGCAAACATTCAGGCCCCCATAGCGGCAGATCAAATATTTACAAAAAGAAGTTAGACATGCCAGTGCTGACACCTGAGGGTGAAGGCGAACTTCCATGTTGGCTAACTCACCTGTTAGTTGTGGTGGTACTTTCCTTAATAGGAAGAAAGCATTTAGACGATGTCACCTTTTTATATTGAGCTTGTTCATATGGGTAGAGCAAAACCAATGGGAGAGTATAATCAAAAGTTATTCGTAATCCATCCACCATCTCCTTACAAAGGTCAACACTAGGAGGATTGAGAAAGGAAAGGTTAGAGATTAGAGACTCAGTAAAGTCACAGGTATTTTCCACACTTCACAATGAAGGTGAACATTTTTAAAAATGCAGTTATTTATTTATTTATTTATTTATTTACTTTGATTCAGGGTCTCACCATATAGCCTTGGCTGGCATGTAACTCACTATGTAGACCAAAATAGCCTCAAACTCATACAGGTCCTGCCTCTGCCTCCTGAGTGCTGGGATTAAAGGTGGGTGCTACCCAGTTGAGGGCATACTCTTAAAATCTTATACATTCACTTACATATAAAAAGAATAAACACAAGCTATAGATGCTAATAGTAAAAAAATAGGGATATACAGACCCTAATATAAAATGCAAGCAGTGTGCTAATAACTTAAATGTATCCATATAACACAAACAAACAGGTTTAATACAGCATGAGCCATCCCAGAAGCCCAGTGCTCCTGGCTCCTGTTTCAATTCTAATACTCTATCTCCCTTATACCAGTCCTGCCAAGTCATGGGGGTTTAGTAGGATTTAAAAAACTCCATTCTGATCAGAATAAAGAATCGTTTGGGCTGAGGAGGTGGCTCAGTGGGCAAAAGTGCTTATTGTACAAGCCTGACAACTTGAGTTTGGATCCCCAAAATCCATTTAAAAAGCTACATGCAGTAGTGCATAAATCGCACAAACCTATAATCCCAGAGTTATTATGGGGAGACAAGATACAGAGACAGGCAACACTCTGGAAATTTAAAGGCTAGCCAGGGTGATATATCCAGAGTGAACAACACCTGAGACTCCTAAACAAGGCAGAGGTGAAGACTTACACCAGAGGCTGTCATCTGACCTTCAAATGTATGCCATGGTACACATGCACTCATGTACACACACACACACACACACACACACACACACACGCACACACAAATTCATTTCGTTAAAAGATCAGTCCTAAGCAACCTTTGATTCCAGTTCTCATTGCCTATTCTGCTTCCTCAAGTAGACAGTTATTGTCCAAAGTCATGTCCCTGAAAATATTGCTCTTGGCAACTAGGTAATGCACAATCGAGCCAGTTCTCATTTGGAATTATCAAACACTTCACAAAAGTCACAATACTTTCATATCACACTAATAACTAAATGAGATAAGAGATGAATTCAGTAAAACTGAACAGAGAAAGAGATCCCTTTTTCTAAACTGTAATATACAAATAAAAAGCTGGGGGTACAGATGAGTGGAAGAGCCATTTGTCTAGTATGCATGAGGATTAAGTTCAATTCCCCTACACCCCACACACATAGTGGAAAATTAACAAAACTCATAACAATAACAACAACAAAATCAAAGACAGAATCCAAAGGCTAAATACCCCAATGACTCACTTCTTTTCTGCCGGGACATAGTGCACATTCATGTGTGCATGCATCATGGCATGATGGTGACGAGGCCTCTCATTGGCTGAAAAGGCTGCATTAATAGCAAAATGCTTCACATAGGATTCCAAAATTGTTATGATGTTGGTTTGGCATGGAAGTTTCACTAACTGTTAAGAAAAATATAAGCATCTCAAACTCACACCCCATTATAATCAGACACATATTCCAAGTAGAATTAGCTGTTGTTCTATCAGTTTAACTTTGTCAATTCTGCTCAAGATTTTCTTAAATATGTCTTGAAGTTCTTCAATAATCCTTCCTTCCAGTGATCATACTCGAATACTACTATAGTCTTGCTGTTTTGAACACATAGAATAGTGATCCTGAGGCTTAGCATTCTTTTAAAAAATTCGGGAAAACCACACAAAGCCAAGAGAGGTGCCCCTACCCCACCAATTAAATCCTAGTCTGTCTGTCTGTCTGTCTGTCTGTCTGTCTATCTATCTATCTAATTACCTCTCTTTTTGAGACAGGGTTCACTGTGTAGCTCTATCTGTCCTAGAACTCTAATGTAGAAGAGGTTGGCCTCTGCCTTCTGAGTGCTGGGATTAATGGCAAGACATTCATTCCCAGCTTAAATCCTAATCTTAGTTGAAACCCAGGTATCAGAATTTTGAAAAGTTCCCTGAAGGGCTCAAATGGACACCATAAGGTATAAAAGTCTTCAGTTACACAAGAACCCAGCACCGTTGTTAGTCAATTCTAGAACTAAACAGTTGTGGAATACTATTTTAAGATGTGTTACACTTGTTTATGCTGTGGAACATTTGTTTAATGATGCAAAGATATGTTGCATTTGTTTAACTTTGTGAAGCTGTGTTACTCTGCCAGTCTGAAACACCTGATTAGTATAATAAAGAGCTGAATGGCCAATAGCAAGGCAGGAGAAAGGATAGGAGGAACTGGCAGAGAGGATAAATTGGAGGAGAAATCTGGAAGGAGAGATCTAGGATCAAGAGAAGGAGGAGGGCTCCAGCGGCCAGCCACTCAGCTACACAGCCAGCCACATTGTAAGAAGTAAAGAAAGACATTCAGAAATAGAGAAAGGCAAAAGGTACACAGGATAATTCAAGAAAAGCTGGCTAGAAATAAGTCAAGCTAAGGCCAGGCATTTATAAGAAAGAAAAACACTCTGCGTATTTATTTGGGAGCTGGGTGGCAGGTCCTGCAAAGAGTCAAAGAGCTAAGAGTAAAATAAACAACAACACTGGACCAAGTACAAAACTGGAAATGAAACTACCATCCCTCCATGGTGCCTAGTGTTTGACACTGTGAGCACAAAATGCAGCATTCCAAACAATCCATTCCTCTGGCATACCCGTTTCCTTCTGTTGATATAGTAGCAGTCATCCTCAAGTTGCTTCTTAAGAACTTCAGGGATATCTATGGTTATTGTTCTTTCGTCCATGTCCTTTCTTGAGCGCAGTGACAATACTTTTTTTTTCTGAAATATCACAATTCTATTTTTAATTAATGCGAACAGTGGGAGAGGCTACCACATAAGAGTCTGCTATGCAACCAAGCTAGTTTAGTAACAGTCACATCACACCACATGTCCTCTATTAAAGGACAAAGACATAAAGATACTACGCCACGTGTTCAAGTGTTTTTCATAGCATTAACTACACTGCAAATTCACTTTTGTTTCTTTCTCATTTATGATTACAATTGGGGTTTATGTCCAATTTGGAGGCAAGTAAAAGCCAATCTCTGTTAGGCACCATTAAAAATTAATCATTATAAAAATAGAGTTCACAATCTCACTTTAAAAAAGATGTAGAATTTGTGGAAACTCCCTGTGGGTACAAAGAATAAATGATGCTCATACAGTGACTATAAACAAAGGCTGTCTTTTTTTTAATGTCACAGAGAATTCATAATATTGGTCTGAAAGGTATAACTTTTGAAAAGAATTCCTAACCTGAGAATTTTTCTACTACCAGATATACCAAAGACAAAGTTTGTACAATAAAATTTTTGTACCGCTTTAGTCTTTACTTTAATACGGCGCTGACGATGTTCTTTTATTTCTTCATTTTTTTCTCCAGAGCTGTCATGACAGGTACTGCTTATTGCTATGTAAAACAAAAATATCAGGCAAACTCACATTATAAACTTTGACAATCCCTACATTTACAAATTATTAGGTGGTGCATGCACTTGACTAAGAAGAATGTCTGTAGTTCTGCATACATTTTAAATCCTAAACACAAATACTGTACCTTTCGGAACAGAAACTTATTTTGATAAATATAACTCCAATTTCAATGGATACAAAAATCACACGAGCTAATGATCTGAAAGTGTTTCACCAGCTAGGATCCTATGGTTCACTGTTGGATTCATAAGTGGTGGCAAGGCCCTGGAGGTATCAAGAAGAAAATGGACTGTGAGAAAGGATCTGTGAGGGCTGGCTGGCTGAGATGAAGGCGGTCACTGGAAGACTGATAGAGTCTTATACTGACATGCTGACTGATCATATTGACTGCTACTATAATTGTCTAAAATAAACCGAGTGCATATTACAAAGATGCTCCTTCATTTATGATGCTGTTACACCTAAGCTGATGAAAATACAGGTAGCCTATTGAATATCATAGCTGACTTATTCTAAATGTACTCAGAACACTTATATTAGCTGACAATTGGGCAAACTCATTGAAACAAAGCTTACCTTATGGTAGTATTAAATATCTCATGCATTTTATTGCATATTGTACTGAAATTGGAACAAGAAAATAGTATATCTGCCTACCATCATAAAGTCAACAAGATCTTAAACTGGAGAACATCTGTACATTATGAGTTTGTACTAGTTCCCTGTCTATAATTTCAGTGACTCTTTCTCTCACTCTTGAGGTCTAAAAAGATTATATGCAAATGGTTTTAGCTCAGGAAAATAAAGTGAAGACACTCACAGTTTTCATCATTTTGAGTGGTTTCTTTAACTGGCACACTTTTTAAGACAGAGTCGACACCAGGCAGCCGACAGCGCCTCTTCTTTCCTCCTGCACCTCTCCTGAAAATGATAAACACAATTAAAATACAATTTCAGACTGGTATATGAGTTGGAGTTCACATAGGACATGAAAAAGCAATAATTATGAACTCAAACTCGAAAACACAATGGCAATTCCTACTACCAAATGGACAACAGGCATTCTGGAAAACATCTACAAATTCTTCAGAATACTACAGAAACTCTTCATTTACTTTTAAAGATTTAAGATTATTGAAATCTGTCATTTTATGACTTTTGTATCATAAAAATCCAAAACAGTAAAAAAAAAAAAAACATACTGAATAACACTTCCATCAAAGTGTTTGTATCCTTACAGGCGAGCTATTGCTTTTTTGGCCAATTTACGCTGTAACCGCCGATTTTCATCTGTATCATGAAGGACATGATCTTCCGATGCCCATCTATCCCAACTAGTTGAAAAAAGGAAGAAGATGTAAAAGTCAGTATTCTGAAACAAATGAAACTCATGCTAAAAAGCATTGTGAAGATGCTCCCCAGAGTTGCTGACATTGTAGCAATATATAAAGATTTCAAAAATCACCAAGAGGGTGTCAATAAAGCACAAAGGGAACTCAGTTATAGTTACCAGGATTCCCAATGATCATCCACAGGTAATCCAAACATAACAGACTTTAAAATAAGCATGCCTCAGAATGCGAAAGCTTTACGAACAAAGCAGAAGCAGGAAATTAAACTTTTCTACAAGTGTTTCTAAAAACTTAAAGTTACAAAATTAGTATGCTACACAGGCGATTAATAATTAGTATGGTTGTAACAAGTTCACTCACCTACTGTTCCAACCATTAAAATGTATCAGATATTCTGGAATCTTTCTTCCTTTTTCGTCTTTTCCGACAATAACATCGACGATCTGAAACCAGGAAATACTGCTCACGAGTGGCACAACAACCCAAAAACTATTAAGTTAGGTTTTTAAAAAACTAGATCACAGTCCCTTTTTAAAGGAAAAGAAAAAAAAATGTTCCCTTTTTAGACCGAGAGCAGGGTTGCAACATTCTTCAACATTTTTTTCCTTTTGCCTGAGTGGTTACCTCAAAATAGGAAACATCCGTCCAACCAACCCACGATTGGTCTCTTGAGTTTGAGACCGGGTGAAGCTTCTGAAGCCATTGGTCGGTAGATTTGTCATTAGCGAGGACCCAGACTAGAAAGAGCAGCCCTGAGACCTCTGGGAGTTGTAGTCACCCTGGCCTTGCCTTGTCCAGTGTCCAGTCAAGCGAGTCAAGAGATTTCACAACTCTTCCCCCATCCCCTTAATAGCCCTGCATCCCCGGAGGGGACATCTGGCACAAAAGAAACAGCAAACCCTTCCCTCCCCCAGTGACACAGCAAGCTGGAGGGATTGGAATGGAATTTAAACAGAGATAAGAGTTGCAGGAGAAACCAAAGATACATATGCCAGCCCAGACCTTGGGGTGGCCCACATGACAGCACCTTTTAAACACTGCTAAAGACGCACCTGGGGCTGTTCCAAGTTGTCTCCGCCACCAAGGACTTCGCCTTGGTGGCTGGAAACACTGACGCTCGCCCCGACCCCCAGCGCGCTGATTTTCACCGTCTTGGGGCTCCGGAGCACTTAGGTGCCCACTCCTGCCCTCCACTTAAAAACTGACAACAGTACGATTTAGGCTCAGCCCCGGCTGACTGAGCTAAATACAGGCGACACTCGATTCTTTCCTAGCTCTGTCGCTCTCCTACAAATCCTTTAGAAATCGCAAACGTCAAAGCGATTGAGCAACCATAAACCCTTCCCTTCCCCGGGGTGAGAGTTAAATGCCCACGATCCTAAACTCAACTCGGATCCCCGGGACCATGATGTCGCCAGCTGACAGCTGCCAATATCTGAGACCAGGGTTGAGGACGTGGGTGGGTCAATAGGTCAGGGTGTCCTCTAGGGAGCCCACGCGGCGCTGAACCGCCTCAGACAAGGAGACACTTATCGCAAAAGCAGAGGCCTCAGGCGACAGTCCTACACCAGGCGCCGGAATTGGCGCCCAGCGACCAAAGCGCCATCTCGGCCTAGCAACCGCGCATCAGCGACGCAACAAGGCCGGAAGCGGAAGTAGAAACGGAAGTGTCGCAGACCCTTCCTAGTTAGGGCAGTTCTGCACGGAACGCGTCTCGCCAGCGTCCCCTGCCGTCCCGGGCAGCTCCTCGCAGGCCGAGGCGCGCCCTGATGACTGTCCAGGGCGCAGAGCCACTTGTCCGCCGCTGGCCCCTTTGCCTGCCTCCCCATCCCCGGGGCCCAGACCCACGCCTCCTCCCTGTCCCCCCCGCGGCGGCACCTTGGCATCGTACAGCACTCGCGCCTTGGTGGCGTCAGGCTCGAAGCACAGCACTTTCTCCCCAGAGTGGAATTGAAATTTCATGCCCTCGCTCGCGCTCATTTGCTCATCGTG